AGAAACCCTTTAAGGGGTTATGCAATTATTGCAACCAAGGTCACATTAAAGCTAATTGCTTTAAATTGAAGAACAAACAAGAAAATGAAGGTAAAATTCTTCAAACTACCCCTCTAGCTCTAGCTTGTTTTGAATCTAACACCATTAAAACTTCCTTTGACTCTTGGTGGCTGGATTCTGGTGCCACCGTACATGTTGTGAACTCTCTACAGGAGCTAAGAAACCAAAAGGTTCCAAGTGAGGCACAGAAGACAGTCTTTGGTATAGCAGGGAGTAAGGCATCAGTTGAATGCATTGGAACTATTTCTTTGTATTTAAATTCTGGTCATATTTTACATTTGAACAATGTTGTTTATGTACCTTCTGTGAAGAGGAATTTTATTTCAACTTCTACATTGAATATGTGTGGCTATTCATTCTTCTAAGGAAATGGGAAAATTGACATTTGTTTTGATTCCATTAATGTTGGTGTTGCTTCTTTGATATATGGTTTATATCGATTGAATGATTGATCACTTAAACTTTCTAATCTCCAAATCAATGCTGCTATTGGGCATAAATGTCAAAGGCCCAATGATAATTCCTCTATGTTATGGCATTGTCATTTGGGTCATGTCTCTAGAGAGAGATTAGAGTGCATTACTAAGCAAGGTGTCTTATAAGACCCTAATTTCTTAGATTTTAAACTTGTGTTGATTGCATAAAGGGGAAATTCCCTACTAGAGCTAGAACCAAAGGGGTAAAGAGGTTTGAAAACACTTTAGACTTAATCCATATTGATATCTGTGGACTTATCATACCTCCGGCTATGGGTGGTTTCAGATATTTCATCACCTTCACAGATGATTACTCTCATCATGGATGGATTAAACTCTTGCATGAAAAGGGCGAGTCCCTTAGTGCATTCAAGACCTTTAAAGTAGTGGTCGAATTGAAATCTAGCAAGTTGATCAAATGTGTGAGATCTGATAGAGGAGGAGAATTTTATGGGAGATATACTGAGATTGGCAGGAACCTTAGGCCATTCGCTTTATACCTTCAAGAGCATGGCATTGAAGCTCAATGTATTATGCCTGGCACCCCATAGCAAAATGGGGTTGCAGAAAGGTGAAATCGTACTCTCATGGATATAGTTAGAAGCATGATCAGTCACTCCTTACTGCCGGAATTCTTGTGGGGTGATGCACTTAAAACTGTTGTTTATATTTTGAATCAAGTTACTAGTAAGTCAGTTCCAAAGACTCTATACGAGTTGTATTTTGGAAGGACTCCTGCGCTAAAACATATGTGAGTTTAGGGTTGTAAAACACAGGTAAAACCTTACAATCCACAACAGATGAAGCTTGATGCTAAAACTGTTGATGGTTTCTTTATTGGCTATTGTATCGGATCTCGTGGGTATAGATTTTATTGTCCGAATCACACTACTAGGGTAATTAAATCTAACCGAGCTTATTTCTTTGAAGATGCCTTAGACAGTGGGAGCTCTGTGCCTAGGAATATTACTTTGCATGACGAAAGTAACATTTTGCCTATGCCTATCTTGACAACCCCTCATGTTGATAGAAATAATGCCGTGGATCAGGATGAAGCTTAAGATGAACAACCTTTAGAGGGTGATAGGGATTTGGTTGTTAAACCAAGATGGTCTCAAAGGGTTCGCAGGTTTGCTATTCTAGATGATTACATGGTGTATTTGTAGGAATTTGATTTAGATGCTATTGATAGTTTAGACCCAATATTTTATCAAGAGGTTATTTCTAGCTCGCATTCTTCTGAATGGTTGGAGGCTATGAGTGAAGAGATTGCCACTATGTACCACAATCATGTATGGGAGCTTGTAGAGCTACCAAAGGGTTTTAAACCAATAGGTTGCAAGTGGGTCTTTAAAATAAAATGAGGAGCTAGAGTGAAATTGATAGATAGAAAGTCAGACTTATAGTTAAGGGCTACAACCAAAAAGAAGGTATTGATTATACAGAAACCTTCTCTCTGGTATCCACTAAAGATGCTTTTAGAGTGGTAATGGCTTTAGTTGCATAACTTGATCTTGATCTTCATCAGATGGATGTTAACACTGTATTCTTGAATGGCGATTTGTATGAAGAAGTATTCATGACACAACCTGATGATTTTGTTGAATTTGGTAAAGAACATCTAGTGTGCAGATTGAAGAGATCCATCTATGGGCTAAAACAGGCCTCTAGGCAGTGGTATCTGAAATTTGATGAAGTTATTACCTCACTCAGTTTTGTTGAGAATGTCTCAGATCGGTGCATCTATCAGAAGTTTGATAGGAACAATTTTGTCATTCTTGTTCTCTATGTTGATGATATCTTGTTAGCCAGCAATTCAATAAATTTTTTCAATGAGATAAAGCACCTATTGTCTTGCCATTTTGACATGAAGGACATGGGTGAAGCCTCCTTCATTCTTGGGATACAGATTCATTATGATAGATCTTGTGGTATTCTTGGTTTATCACAGACCACTTATATTGAACGGGTACTTAAGAGGTTTAGAATGGATTCATGATCTCCCTCACCTGCTCCTATACAGAAAATGAGCTGCTGTCAGAGTTACAGTGTCCCAAGGATGATAAGAAAAGGGCTGAAATGAGAAAGATACTATACGCTTCCGCTATCGGTAGCCTTATGTATGTTCAAGTGTGTACTCAACCAGATATAGCCTTTGCTATTGGAGTGCTGGGTCGATACTTAAATGATCCAGGTCCGGATCATTAGAAGGCTGTTAAGAAAGTTATAAGGTATCTTCAAGGTATGAAGAATCATATGTTAACTTACAGAAGGTCAAATTCTCTTAAGGTTATTAAGTATTCTGATTATGACTTTAAGGGATCAGCAGATCTTGAAATTGTTAGCTTTTCAGATTCAGATTTTGCCTCTTGTCTGGATGATCATAAATCCATAACCGGCTATATTTTCATGTTGTCTGGAGGAGCTGTCTCTTGGAAAAGTGTGAAACAGACACTTACAGCAGTTTCATCTATGGAAGCTGAGTATATTGCTTGCTTTGAGACTATACGTCACGCTATCTGGCTGAGGAAGTTGATATCTGGCATGTGCCTGGTTGAGTTAATATTACATCCTCTAACCATTTACTGTGATAACAAATCTGCAGTATACTATGCTAATAATCACAAAAATTCTAGTCGTACAAAGCATTTTGATATCAAACTTATGTTTGTGAAAGAGAAAATTGCTGAGTCTTAGACCCGTGTGGTACACATTCCTAGCACGTAGATGCTTGCAGATCCACTGACTAAGGGCTTACGTGTAGAAGTTTTTCAAAATCATGTAACTTGTATGAGTATTGTAAATTCCTTTGATGCCCTGGTTTAGTGAGAGTTTTGAGAACCTTTTGTCTTGCAATTTCTCTTTAGGCTTTGTTTTCTTCTGTGAGTTATGTTTAGTTCAGTTAGATCCGTCTATATCATTTGTATCCCTATAGGATTCAATGATTCTATTATGGTACGCTATGCATGTCACTTATTTCCCTATAGGAATCGGTGATTTATGTTGTTATCTTACTGAGCTATGTTTGAAATAAAATTTCATGTTTTATTCAGATTATGAGATATCTTATCACTTGTTTCCCCATAAGATTCAGTGTTTTTTTGTGGAGTTTTATTTTCTGAATTTTGTTTGTGGCTTGTTTATACAACTTGCTTTATTAATGCAATCCAAGTGTGAGATTGTTAGAATATTATTTATGAATCAGCATTAATTAATAAGCCCAATAGATTGATTTTTATGATCTTGTGTGGACCGTGATAGGTGGACCACGCAAGTGAGCCCAATGGGCAGAGGCCCAACCCACAACCCAATAGCCGTCGATTATTCCTTATCTATTAATTGATTGAGTCAGAAATAATGTGATATAATTATTTTAATTATATAATAAGGTGGTTACCAATTTGATCTATATAAGTCGATCAATCGATAACCGCAAACACATGACTCATTCTTTTGTTTCGATTATCTCTGAACTCTCTGAAGGCTCTGGAGACTAGTGGGTTGTGTACCTGTCTATACTCAAGGTAATCGAGCTTTCTCAAGCACTCATGGATTCTTCAAGTATGCATACATTACTTTACTTGTTTATATGAATTGAGATATACAGATATAACAAATGGGTCTAGGATGAATAATGATGTTAGTGTCTAAAGCTGATAATTCGAATCAAGCCTGACGAGCTAATCCAAACCCACCTTAAAAAATGTAGGGCTTGACTTAGAAAAAGGATACTTTTTTTATGTTCGGCTTGAATAGGCTCGAAAAAATTTTAGCTAAGCCTGATCGGGTTTAAATTTGGCTTGAATACCTGAATAAAAAATAATTTTAAAAAATATATAAAATATAATAAATATTAATTAATTATTTAAGTTTTAGATTATTTCATATTAAAATACTATATATTTGAGTCCTATACATCTTTTAAGTATAAAAAAATATATTTTATATTTTTATAAAATACAATAATTAATTTTAAAGTAAAAATTTAATTAAAATAATTTTAAAAATAAAATTTGGGTATTCATACCGCCCGAAGTCCGGAAAAATTAGAGTTGAGTTTGTTTATTCAAACTTTTTAGGAAATCAAGCTTGTTTGGGTTTGAGCTTGTTTGGATTGGGGCTGAATTATCAACTCTATTAGTGTCGGTGGTGGAGTTTTGAGGAATCCAGATGGTGATTGAATTCAAGAATTTAGTCAAAAGTTTGAAAAAGTTCTAGCCACAATTTTTAAAATTCTTAATATTTTCAAAGACTTTGATATTTGTTGGCAAAAATGTTTTAAATCTGTAGAGGTATTTTGTGATTGTACAAATGCTATTACGAACAATTACAAGAGACAACAATAGATATCGTCCTATTAATAATATCATTGATTCGATGAGATTTCTCCTCTATCGGCAATGGGATGTTCATTTCAACGTGGCGTACAGGGAAAACAATATAACTGCGGACTCTCAAGCCAAGCTGGCTTATAACCTTCCTAATGACCTGACCCTTTTTGACTCGCCATATTGTGTTTAGTTCGGTGGTGTGCTAGTTGTTTCTTAGTTTTGTGTTTCTTTAGGTGCACCCCCGGGCGACTTGCTTGTAGTGCTCCCTGTCTCTGATGAACATGGTTTCCTTCTTTACTCAAAAAAGAAAAAAAATTTGGGGCTAACTTTATTTTACTGTACTTGTCTATTTTCTTTATTTAAAAGTTGTTTTATTGGCCCTAAAAAAAATATTTAAAAGTTGTTTTATTAAATAAAATAAAATAAATGGCTTCTTCTTCTTCTTCCTCTGTTTTTCCGCCTTCTAGTGCACAGAATCTCGTCCGCCGGCCTCAATTGCATTCCCTCTTCCGATTTCCAAGTTACTGAAGAATTGGAGGACAGCCATCCCATTAGTCGACTCTTGCTTCTGGTAACATCCTTCTTTCCATCTAAATGCTATAAAAACCCTAAACCCTTGAAGCATCACACTTCTTAGAATCCTCCAAGTGAAAACAAATGTTTTCTTCTGGACCGAAGAAGGCCAATGTGAGCTCTCGGAGACATCAACCTCCTGGTGCCACGGTGCTTGATTCTCCGATCACTCCTCTTGGTGAGAGACGAAGTTTATTCCATGACCACACTGTCCCAAATCGTCCAAGCACTGGCACTCCCGCTCCTTGGGCTCCTCGCTTGTCAGTTCTTGCCAGGTAACTCAATCCTTAATGGTTTGCAACTTCGAAATTCACAGTGCGGGTATCGTGCTTTGCAACTTAAGCAAATGCTTTTTTATAAAACATATTTTTAGTTATGAAAATTGGTGTTTAACAGTATTTTGTGTTTGGAATATTTGGTAGATAGTGGTGAAAGTGGAATTTATATGCCTTTGTGACTGACGCGAATTCATGTAGTAGTTAGCTTGTGAATGCTTATTAGTTGGTTTTAATTTGTAACATAATTGCTTTGTTGTAGCTTGAAAGGTGGAATAAGACGATAAATGTTGCCAATGGTGGATGTAAATAAAACTAGTCGATGTACTTGACGTTAGTACATCGAATTTATAGAACTAATGGAAATAATGGGTCTCAATCTATCTATTGCATTGTCATATCAATTGTCCCAGTTGAAAGGGACTCGTTTTCATCTAAATCCTACACAAATTTTGAACTTAGGCAATTGTAATTAGCCACCATGAACCTTCAAAGTGGAATTTAAATGGATTACTCATAGTTCTTCAGGGCAAGTATATAAAACTGTTAACTCATATGTGCTTTTGAAACTTCTTGTTTCCTATCTACCATTATTAGTAATGTAACTCTAATGGTTTTCAAAGTCAGGTACATACATGTTTTGTTTCAACAAAGTGAATAACTAAACATTTTTTATTATTATTTTTATAAATTTGGGCTCTGAGCGGAAGGATGAAGGAAACAGAGAAAGCAGCATTCTGAGCTATTTTGCGTTTAATAATGGCTTGCTTATTCTTGGCTCCTAGAATTGGTCTTATATCTATATGTTTAATGAATTGGTGGCTGTTAGTCTTTGATATTGGTAGACATTGTTCTCTAATACTCTCTAGTTTATACAAACTTACTATTGCTGCTAACTTCAATGTTTTCCTGTTGTATTTACATAGAATTCCTCAAGTTAATAGAAGTGGAAAAGGGGATGAATTAGATTCGATTAAACCTGTATATGTTGGAGAGTTTCCTCAAGTAGTCCGTGATCAACAGGCCAGCTTGCTTCAGAAACGAGTTGCTGGTGAGTTTGTTTGGTTTTATTGTTTCAACAGCACGAGTGAGATATAGTGGAGCTGTTAGATAGCACGTGTTACTTGTTCTTACAATTGAGCACTTCTTGATATCAAGCGTTTAATGTTGACTGTATTGTCATGCAGTTGAAAATTGCTCATGTGGTGGCATTGAAAAGCAGACATCCCTTGCTTGGATTATTTGTGGAAACAGACTCTTTATTTGGAGCTACTTGTCATCTGCATCTTCGACGAAGTGTGTTGTTCTTGAAATTCCTCCTAATATATCAGACAATGGAGATGGTGGCAAAAATGATGCGAGTTTTTGGTTTCTTTCTGTTGTTCATTGGGCTAACACATGCTTGAGAACAAATAAAATTGGAAAACATTGCAACTCTGCTGGTGTTGTTTTGTGTAATCGAAATACCCGTGCTGTTATATACTGGCCTGACATCTATTCACAATCAGACAGTGCTTCAGTCACTAGTCTTGCATCTTCTAATGAGCTGGAGGTTACTTTCATTTCTGATGGGAAAGGAACCTCAAGTAGGCAATGGAGACTAAGCAAGGTGGCGAATAGTTTAAATGGATCACACATGTTTAACTCTTTGGTTGCTTCTGCAGTTCCTGGTCATAAGCTTACTTGTGTTGCCCTTGCATGTAGCTCAAATGGTGAACTCTGGGAGTTTTTGTGCACTCCTTATGGTATTCAGCGAAGAAAAGTATATGAAAATATTTTGCAGTTTCCTGTTCAGGGGGGTGATTCTGGTCAAATAATCAGCAACAGGGGATATCCAAGGTCATTGACATGGTGTTTTCCTCATCACTCAACAGATGAACCAAACCGGCAATTTTTGGTATTGACTGATCATGAGATACAGTGTTTTAGGGTAGAACTTAGTTCTAATATACATGTCTCAAAGCTTTGGTCTCAAAAAATTGTTGGGACAGATGCTGATGTGGGCATTAAGAAGGATCTGGCTGGCCAAAAGGGAATATGGCCCCTTGATATGCAGGTAGATGATCATGGTAAAGTGATTACCATTCTTGTTGCAACCTTTTGTAAGGATCGAGTAATCAGTTCAAGCTATGTTCAATATTCTCTTCTAACTATGCAATATAAATCAGACTTGGGTGTAGAGATTGTTAATGACAAGATTTTGGAAAAGAAAGCCCCTATAGAGGTGATAATTCCAAAAGCTAGAGTTGAAGATGATGCTTTCTTGTTTTCCATGAGGCTTCGGGTAGGAGGTAGGCCCTCAGGGTCAGCCGTCATAATATCTGGGGATGGAACAGCAACAGTTTCACATAACCATAGAAACTCTACTCGACTCTATCAATTTGATCTTCCCTACGATGCTGGAAAAGTGCTAGATGCTTCAATTCTTCCTTGTGCAGATGATTATGAAGAAGGAGCCTGGGTTGTGTTAACAGAAAAAGCTGGAATATGGGCAATACCTGAGAAAGCTGTTATAATTGGTGGAGTTGAACCACCTGAACGGAGTTTATCACGCAAAGGAAGCTCAAACAAAAGATCTGCGCAAGAAGAGATTAGAAATCTAACATTTGCAGGTAATGTTGCCCCCAGAAGGGCTAGTTCTGAAGCATGGGATAATGGAGACAGGCAAAGATCAGGTTTGAGTGGGATCACTCGTCGGACTGTGCAAGATGAAGAATCAGAAGCTCTTCTGAATCAACTTTTCAATGAATTTGTATCATCAGGGGAAGTGGACAGATCACTTGAAAAGCTAGAAAGTTCAGGTTCATTTCAAAGGGATGGGGAAACAAATGTTTTTGTGAGGATGAGCAAGTCAATAATTGACACCTTAGCTAAACACTGGACAACAACAAGAGGTGCAGAGATTTTGGCCATGACTGTTGTTTCCACCCAACTTTTAGAAAAGCAGCAGAAACATCAAAAGTTTCTCCAATTTCTTGCCTTATCCAAATGCCACGAGGAGCTGTGTTCTAAACAAAGTATGAAATTAGTAGTTAGCTGCCAAAAGATTTATTCATTCATTTTGACCTGTTAATCGTTAATTCCATTTGCTATCATATATAATTAACACTTCAGCAATTACATTAATGTGCAAGCAAGATGTGAGAAATATATTTAAAATTAATCCATCATGATGATTTTATAAATGAGAAGACATCTAGTAATATTTTTTTCTGGCTGATTACTACATGACAATGTTGTGATAATTAATTTATTATAGAATTTGGAGATGGTAAAGCACCAGTCTTGGACTTCTTAGGCTGCTTTTCCACGAAAATGTACAATGAACTATGAAACAATACGTTATTCACTAACTGTATTTTGGGGTTTATAAATTGGAATATGTTCTTTCTAATCATTTGTCTCTCAGCTTTTGCTTGTGTTTGTGTTGAGGAGAGGGAGATCTATAGTCTGATTTTTTTTTTTGACCGGATATAGTCTGATTAAAACATGGGCACAAGTTTCTTCCTTCTGTGCCTTTGCCTTTCAGCTTGTGAGACTTGCAATGTGACTGAAGAAATAGATGCTTAATTATTGCAGGAGGGTTAGAAGTAATTGAAAGAAAGTGAATAATGTTGATTGCTTAGTTTTGTCATCTAGATTTTATATGTAAATATGGATTTCTTTTTTGGTAAATTGTTCTTATGATTTTTTAATTCTAAGTGATATCAATAGAATTGCTCAGATTGAATGCAAGGGTTGTGGCCAGTTTATGACTGAAAAGAATGTATAGATTATTCATTAGAGAACATGGAGGTGACAGTAGGTGCAATCATCATCATCATCATCATCATCTTCTTCTTCTTGGCAGGACAAGCCCTGCAAACTGTCTTGGAACATGGTGAAAAATTAGCTGCAATGATTCAGCTGAGGGAATTGCAAAATCTGATTAACCAGAATCGTTCAACTAGTGTTGGCTCCTCAAATTCTAGTTTGGAAATTCAGATGTCAGGTGCCCTTTGGGATGTGATTCAAATAGTTGGTGAGAGAGCCCGCAGGAATACAGTACTTTTGATGGATAGAGATAATGCTGAAGTGTTCTACAGCAAGGTTTCTGACCTGGAAGATTTCTTTTACTGCTTAGATGGAGAGTTAGAATATGTAATAATCCCTGAACAGCCTTCTGGGATTCAGATCCAGAGGGTATGTGAACTCTCAAATGCATGTGTCACTATAATTAAGACATGCTTTAACTATAAGAATGAGAATTGCTTATGGTATCCACCTCCTGAGGGCTTAGCACCTTGGTATTGTCAACCTGTGGTACGCAAAGGGGTGTGGAGCGTTGCTTCTGTTCTGCTTCGGTTGTTAAATGAAATATCTGGACTTGATATGTATGCAAAATTAGATTTGTATAATCATCTTCAAGCACTAGCTGAAGTGCTGCTTGAGGCATATGCTGGTGCTGTCACAGCTAAAATTGAGCGTGGTGAAGAACACAAAAGTCTGCTCAATGAGTACTGGGAGAGGCGTGACACACTTCTTGATTCTCTTTATCAACAAGTCAAAGAATTTGAAGCTGGCCATAAGGTTATTATTATATTTTTTATAGCGCGTCCTTTCAAGTCTGATTATGGATAGTATTGTTCACTTGGTTACTTGTACAGGATTCAGTGGGAGGAAATGAAAATCAGAGTGAAGAAGCTGTTTTGAAGATTACTTCACATTTGCTATCAATTGCTAAACGGCATGGATGCTACAAAATTATGTGGCAAATATGCTGTGACATCAATAATTCAGAATTACTGAGAAATATTATGGTATGATTGTTTTTGCCTCCGTTCTTGTGCTAATTTTGTTCTCCAGTCATGTTATTTACTTTTTCTTGATGTCTGCAACTTGCAATGAAGGTTTTCTTAGCAGTGCCAAAAAAAAAAAAAACTTTTACAGATAGGGATGGGATTGTAGATATTTTAATTCTGGCAGCCTTGTGAGTTGAGATGACTGATTAATTGATCTCTGAACTCTGAAAGTGTACAATGTATCAGGAGATAGTGCCTTATTAGGCTCTAGTTAGTACCTGCAATGAATCACTGGTGAAATTTTTTGGACAACAATTATTAACAGTGCTCTTTAATCTTACTGGTCATAAGTGAACTATATTTTGCGTGCTTTTATATGCTCATCATTTTTTATAGCTTTTGCATAATTTGCATTCATGTGCTTGAACTTTTTAAATGTGTATTTCCCTTGATAATGTTCAGTGGTTTGTCTGCAGCAAGAAAGCTTAGGACCTAACGGAGGATTTAGTTACTATGTCTTTAAACAACTTCACGAAAGCAGACAATTTTGTGAGCTTTTAAGACTAGGGAAAGAGTTTCCAGATGAGCTGTCTATTTTCCTGAAGGAACATCCTGATCTTCTTTGGCTTCATGAGTTGTTCCTTCATCAATTTTCCTTGGCATCAAAAACTCTACATGAATTAGCTCTAACTCAAGGCAAAACGTCTACCTCAGCTGCTGAAGAGAAAGAGCTGGAATTTGTTAATTTGAAACTAAAATTAGCTGAGAGAAAGCATCTTTTATATCTTTCCAAGATAGCTGCCGTTGCAGGTATTTATCCTGTAGATTTTCAAGCCCTATGCAGATGCTTCTTTCCCCCATCGCTATTTGTATTGGTTTTCATTTCGTGCAAATTGAAGTTGATCTTCCTTTTGCTTTCAAATAGGTATTCAGTTATCACTTATCAGATACCATGAAAATTATTTGGTCCTGTAGGAACTGTCAAGCGTTGGAAATGAGGAAAATGGGGAGAACATTTCTGAAAAGAGGGACGCACAAACCACGCTACTGTTATATCATAATGGGAAAACATGATCTCTATAATTTTATCGGGTTTTGTTTTTAGTCCCTGTAATTTATTTTCAGTCCTTATAGTTGCTAAAAACACTGGAAAAACTACAAAGACTAAAAGCAAAACTTGATAAAACTATATGGACCAATTATTGTGTTTTCCCTATTATAATCTATTTACAAACACTTTCTTTCACCATAAGCAGCAACAATCAACCTATTTATACAAAACATCACTCTTTAAACTCTATCATATTAAATATCATATTTGTGATTCACAAATTCCTAGATATTTCTCATAATTCTAAATACATGAATTGCACACATATTTATGTCACATCACTCTAAAAGATACACTTAATTCTATCAGACTTAGATTCATGAACTTCACCTAGAAACTTAAAAGACATAATATTTAAGTTTATCGTGAACATCCCTCCTTAAAGGCTTAAACTCAACAATTTTTCCTACAAAGAATGACGTTGACTTGGACCACATTCCTGAGGAAAATCACAAAGAGCAGATGCTACTCTCCCAGTACTTTGCATTGCAAGTGCTCCTTCATTGCTCTCTGATGCTTCAGCTTCTCTTTCTTCTACCTTAGCCTTTAGAGCTATGAGTTCATCCTTGACTTTTTGATAATCTTCTCTTTATGAGCTTCTTTCAAATCTTTCTACTCATTTGATATCATGCAAATCTCGCATTCCATCTTCAACCACAATTTGATACAATCAACCATACACAACAACGCTCAATCCTTTTTTAATACGAGCTTCCCTATCACACTGAGTGTTGCTTCATTCTCCACTTCTTTCTGTGTAAACACCTTGTATTTAGATATCTCTTGCCAGCCAAACTTCTCCGTAAACATAACCTTGGCTAGAAACAGATGTTCATGGTCTAGACCTTGTTTTGCACATAAATAAGTTGATGGAGGCAAATTCAGTTTTGGCAATATTTATTTTAGTGGCACCTTAAATCGAATAGTCACAACAATCTGTTCATTCTCTATGACAAATTGTACTTCATTTTCCTTGACAACTACTAGCTATGATGCAAACCTTAGAAGGTTTTATATTCACAACCTCTCAACTTCCTAGGAATTCTCATATTCGGAGATATCATTGCAATAGCCTTTATCTTCCTGTATCTTTAATCAGGTTCACTCAACCTTGTCTTTGATACCAATATGTTGAAAATGATGAAAACGTGGAGAATGCTACTGAAAAGTTGTATGCACAAACTGCACTATCACTCTATTCAAAACTTCATGACTCTTTAAACATATTAAATATTGCATTTGAGATTCACTGACTCTTAGATATTTCTCGTAATTCTAAATACTTTAACCATGCTCATATCCATGCCGTATCATGCTAAGTGATACACTTGATAGTGAGAGACTCATATTATACTTAGTGATACGCTTAATACAAAAATAAGATAGGCTCTTGACATCTTTTTGCATTTGCGTAAGTGTAATTTTGTCCAAGGTTTCTTTTAAATTGTTATTCACAGTACATTCTTTGTTATGTGTTTTAATTCTCTACTATGTTAGTCCAACCATTTGCTCATTCCTGATATTTTTGTTTAGCAAGTATGAATTCCAATAGTTTACTTTCGCATTTGTAATATCCTCCCTTTCTTTTTCAACAGCTGGTAAGGATGCTGATTCTCAAGTGAAGGTGGACCGTATAGTGGCTGATTTGAAGATTCTTAATTTACAGGTAGTTTTGTAGTTTCTGATCAGTTCTCAACTAGATTATGAACATTTTAATTTCTTAACTCGATTGAGTATATTATTCACAAGGATTATTATGTAGTGCTGAGGCTAATTTTGTAGCCCATAAAGCCATTGTTTATGATTTATTTTTAGGTTCTGATTGTTGTCTGCCGTACATTCTGTGGACATGAGAAGGCTAGATTTGATTATGACTTTGATATGTTCTTTTCAAAACTTGCGGTTTAAATTTTAATGTTGCCCTACGTGGCTACATGTTTATTTGGTGTCAGTTTTGTCTAACATGCTGGTGAAAATTCTTGTTGTCTTGCTAATTGCTAATTAGCTGACTCTATTGCATGCATATCTGGACTGCAAGCTATCATTAGAGGAGGCAGGCAGAGATTCTGTTGGTGACATAGTTATAACACAATCACCCATACTCTTAGATGTTGACATTTAGTTTTTTTCCCCCCTAAACTAATTTAGTCATGATTTACTTCGTGGTTGTGGATTTTCTTTTTCTTAGCATTCCTTACTGGATTAGTCGTGTGGGTGCATCTGCAGGCCATATGTACGATAAAATTTATGCAGTGGACATATGAGACAAATTTGAATTTGACCTTAAACTTTGGGTTGAAAAAGGATACATGTGTCTATAATTTATAGAACAGAGGAATGGTTTGCTTGTGATGTCTTTCGTAGCATACAGAATTTACGAATCTTCAAGGACTTCATCTCACGACTATAAAATCTTATTTGATGTGTTCCTTAAAGTTTAACATTTATTTTTGTCCCTGATAACTTGTAGAACGATGTATTGATAGAAAAAGAGCCTCGCCATGTCCTTAATAATGAAACTTGACCTGCAGGAGGAAATAATGAAACTTGTTACTTCCATAGAAGATAAGCAACTTCTCGAGCAACAGCTGCTTCATCCAGAAGACTTGATTAAACTGTGCCTGGAAAGTGAAGGGCAAGAAGTCTCACTGTGGGCATTCGATGTGTTGGCATGGACCAGTTCCTCCTTTCGTCAGACCCATAGAAAACTGTTGGAGGAGTGCTGGAAAAAAGCTGCAATTGAGGATGATTGGAGCAAGTTTTTTGAGTCATATACGGCTGAAGGATGGAGTGATGAGGAAACGGTGCAGAATTTGAGCAACACGGTACTTTTCCAGGCTTCAAGACGGTATTATGGACCCCAAGCAGAAACGTTCGAAGAAGGCTTTGACAAAGTATTACCATTGAGAGAAGAGAACTTGGAGAACTTGGTTTTAGGCGAAATGACTACTTCTGTGGAATCAATATTGATGCAGCACAAGGATTTTCCAGTTGCAGGAAAGCTTATGTTAATGGCAATCATGTTGGGTAGTGAACAGGAAAATACTAGACTTGAAGAGGGTCCTTCCCCGATGGAATAGCATCGCAAATGTCAAACGAGGTTTGTGTTTCTCTTATAATCACATTTATACCAACTTGGGAGGTGCTGCTACGGGTAATGTTGTAGGGTGTAGAGTGTGGTTGGTATCAATATACTGAATATTTTCGTAATTGAAATGAAATATGTTGGCCAAGAAACGGAATCGTATCCTTTTTTCTTCCCCACTTGCAAATGAAGTCGTATCCTGGAAGTTTATATTTATTTTTTTTTTTCGCTTCAGGAATTTAAATGAGTTCTAGGTAGGAGATATAATGACAGATATAGGCTTTCAACTGAGCAGCATCTACATGATATACGAACTGTGTTTGTATATGTATCTTGTCGTAGTGGGGGAAGATGAGTAGCATCGGTGGGAGGGAGGAACTGTTTGCGCATGCGCATCTCAATGCTGAGCGGGTTTGTGGTTTTAATGCAAATATAGGAAATTACCCTCCTCCTATTTGTGAAGTAATCGGTATCACATTTGGCCTCCATTAATTCTGGGAGAGGCACTTTTGTAATGTCCAAATCTTTATGGATTGCGCTGAAGTAATCAACTTGATCACTAGAAGTGTTATTCATTTATCCTTTCAGAGAAATTATCAACGAGTTCAAATCTGTTTTCTATGGGGATTGGAATATTTGTTTAAAGTTCATGTTTAGGGAGATTAACATCTCTGCCTGCTTGTTGGCAACTCGGGCTTTTGATGATTTTGTTTGTTATACTACTTTTAATTTACTCTCACCTTATTGTGTTGAGGTAGTGAATAATAAAAGGATGTTACCTGATCAACTTGGCTAGCTTGTAATCATTTTGATATTGAATCAGTTTTCATTTAAATCAATGAACCTCAGAGTTGTTCCTTTTTTTTTTTCCCCGTTATTTTGTCAAGCCTGTCTCCATTGATCCGCCTTGGGGTTAGGTCTACAAGTGTATATACTTTTTTAAATTTAATATTAATTTTTTTTGTCTATTTTAGTTGAGCATCTTTTTTCATTTGTTGAAATAAAATAGTTATTTATTCTTAATCTTTATATACTATAGTTATTCAACTCTAGAGATCCAGAAACTTGTAGTGTGATAAAAATAAATTTGGAGAAATTAGTTGTTACTGGTTAAGTATTTTTTTTCCTTTCAAAGAAATAAAGTAATCATTGCTTTGACTATTATAAATTATAATAATTTAGCTTCATAGATTAATTTTTCGTTGGTCGAAGTTTGGTAGTGATAGGAATTTTTTTTTAAAGGATAAAAAGGTTAAAATATGCAAAAAGTTATTAATTAAAAGCATCTAGTAATATAAAATAAAGAAAAGTGTACGGGTGTTTATATTTTTTTTTTTTTTTGTGCATCTGTGACTCAAATTGTTAAACTCCATTACCAATACATAACAGTTAACATCTTTGACTTTTAGGTGCTTATGTATTTTTTCTCACTTTACACTGTTAGATTGCTCCTAGTCAATGATTTTTTAAGTATTTTTGGCTTGTTATCCTGTTTTAATATATATGGGAAATATGATAATTTGCCAAAAATATAATTACTCCAATTCACCGCTGCCTTTCTGTCTTTCCCTTTCCCAATTTACCACAATGCAATTTTTGGTTATTTCAAAAGCATGATAGAAATGTAGTACGAGTTGGGCAGCGAAGAGTGGCATGGTAATTGGCTAACTGGCATGAATATGATGGAAGAGTTTTTATAAGGATTAAATTAATAGGGAAGCTTTCAGTCCAAAAAATAATAATAATAGGGAAGTTATATGAGTGAGGTTTGAAAATGAAATGGAAGTGTACTTCAAAAATACTTTTGGCATGTAAAAAAAAAAAAAGGAGGTGATCTTCGCATAACTTCTGTTTGATGCTTATTGATGATATCAAATCACTGAAATATCAAATGATATCATTTAAAAGTAAATATCATTTAAAAATAAAAGAAAAAAGCAATGTCTGTTAAATTTGTTGATGGGGAAGACGGATAGGGATTACGGATAATAAATATAAGGGAAAGAATGATCAAACAAGGTATAGGTGAAACAAAATTCTGATTTTGCTGAAAATCCATGATTCCATAATTAAACCTATCGTATATTAGTCTTTTATGATCTTGTATGGAGTATGATAGATGGAGCACATAAGTAAACTCATTTAGGTGGAGCCCTAAAATCCTTTAGCCTTAGTTATTCTCTCCATCTTTCAGTTGACTAGGTTAAAAAGATTTGAAAGAGTTAAAATTAATTAATTAATTAATCAATCATATATTTATAAGTGTAAATAACCTTAATGTCACAAATTTATATCTTATTGTCTTCTGCTTTACCTCATATTTCTCTATCCTAAGGAGGTCTAGTAAAAAATCTGTTCAATCTTGAGGTAATTTCCTTGTATTTATATTTTTATCTGTAGCAATGGAATCTATAAATGTGTTAATTAAACTCAATATTTATTATTTTATTTAATCATTGAGATACTTTCAACGCACCTTTGAGGCACATGGCCCGGAAAAAAATGAATCAACGAAGGGTAAAAATCGCTTCAGCAATTTTGCTGGAATAATGACTTCTAGAGAAACTAGCTCTTAAACCCCGCGCGATGCACGGAAAATTTAATTATTAATTTAAAGGGAATGAAAAAGAAGAAAAATAAGGGAAGATTTTCATAAGTTTAATTTTTAAAAAATAAATAATTAGGGTTATAAAATTTTAATAGAGAGAAAATAATAAGAACAATTAATAAAAAAATTTTTAACCAATTTCACTACTTTTGTAATAAATCAAACTTATTAAAATCCTTTGCGCCTCCTTCATTTCCCTTCAACCAAATAGTCCATCAAAATAAATCTAACCATTTTTTTAATGTTTAAACAGAAGTTATTTCAATTTTTTTATCATTTAAATTAATTTCATTTCAATCCTTTAGACTAATATGAAATTTCAAATTTTAATGATCCTTACTTATTATTATATTACATCTTTGATCCTCTGCTGAAGAGTTGTTGTTAAACGTTGAGTTGTGTATTTTATTAAGTATAGCCTAGTGATAAATTGAAATCATATGACTTTCAGGTGAGAATATATGAACCTTGTGTTGCGCATAGTAAATATTATATTGTCCATTATTTGCCTAAATTGAGTATTTTGTTAAGTCTAGCCTATTAATAAAATAGAATCATATGGATTTTCAGTTGAGAATATATAAACCTTGTGCTGTGCTTAGGGGATATTGTTATACATTATTTGCCTATTTGTGCATTTTGTTAAGTCTAACATACTGATATAAGCTAAAGGTTGCTAAACCATTAAGTTGGCTGTAAAAATTTTAGAGTGGATTAATTATTGTACAATAGTAATGGTTAACTTGTTCATATTGGACTTTGATATGTGAATTGAATAAAATATGACTCCCAATGTTAAGAAAATCTACTGTCAAAGATGTTAGAATATCTACTATACAAAAATAAACTTTGAGTTGTTTATGTTTAACTTTAAATTGTGTAAAATAAAATTGGGCTTCTATATGTGGATATTTATCTAGATTAATTTGTTCATTGCATATTAAAATGAAAGAAGATTTATCATTGTTCAAGATGTGGGGAGGCTGGACATAATGGCAAGACATGCAAGAATTCTAATCCAGCATGAGAAATAGTTACATTGTTTCTTTTTGATGTACATAGGGAATTATAATTATGTATATGAAAGCATTGCCAAGTGTTTGTGGTTGAATAATAAATAACAGGTGTGCTAGAGACGTTGAGTCTTAAAAAATAACAAAAAGGCTCTCGAGTTCCCTTATCACAGTTCGCTCGGATGTAAAAAGATAGAAGGCTTTAGTAGAAATAGTGTGTAATTTGATTGAAGTGTAAAACTTACAGACTAAAACTAAAAACTGAAAAAAGGGTTAATGAATGTAAAATATGCGAGTCTTGATCGAGTGTTGACTGAATTTCTCTGTTTTTCTTCTTTCTATTTATAGTGTCTGATAGCAGAAGCCTTTCCTTTAAGACTTAGCACGTTCTACCGAAGAATAGGAATCCTGCGAAACTTACGGCATGGTCTCTCTATTTTGATAAACAGCCTGCTTTACCAAACTACTTGGGCGTAGATTTCGACAATACTTAGGATCGTGTTTTCGTGCCAATGGTTTGATATTCGAAACTGACGAGATTTCGGCATGTTTATTTGTTGTGGACTTTATTGAGCTTAGGGGCCGACCTCTTTTGTTTATATTGGGCTTGACGTTTTGATTAGTCAGCCCAACTTAACTTCATGACTTATTTGAGCGACGCTTCATATTTAGCCCAAACAATGCCTCTCGTGTGCCAATGGCTAGTAACATAAGCCACGTGGCACGTTTGAAAAAATTAAAACGTCGCTCCATTTTTGAGCGCCCTCTGCCAATATAAACTTGTTTCTAGATTCTGTTTACTCCTCTCGCTTTCTTTGCCATTTCTTGAACTTCAAGTCTTCAATCTGCTAAAATTTCTCCTACCCTAATTCTCAAATGGCTTCATTTGCTTCTTCTACCGTCGTACCTTCTTCTACTTTCACTGGTAGTTTGTCGGATTCTCTGGCGACTATCCAGAACCTAGTAAACAGGCTCATAACGGTATGTATTTTGTGATATGAAAAACCCCTTTTTTCCTTTAGACTGGTTTCCTATTTTAATAATCGTTCATCTCTTTTCAAGAGGGTTTGTCATTCCATGAATCAATGGCTTTTTGGTAAGTTTCTCGCTTCTCATGTTTAGCCCTTCTATTTTATTGAAAAGTACTCTAACTGTGCTTCCTTTTTGTCTAGCACTTTGCCTTAGAGTTTCTAAATCTCCAACAAAAGTGATGTCGAGTATCTGACAATTTCTTCCGACCTGTTTGATGTCAACGCTCCCACACAACCAAATCTATGGCCACTGACCTCTCTTCGCAACCTGGTCTTGGCTCAGATGACCTCGAGCTTCCCTGAGTCGTCCTGCAGAAAGCTCAGAAACTGGCCCTACTCCCCTTGTGCTTGGGTCAACTAGGTGAGGCATTTGAAGTCAAATCATGAGCCTCAGTGGAAGGAGATGGGTCTATATGACTTGATTCAGCTATCTCTGGCCGATATTAACATCCCCATGGACCTTCTCACAGCCCTCCTCAGCTTTTAGGCTCCAGGCTGCATTGCCTTTATCTTCGAGCTCAGCTTGATGTCCCTCATGCTATGGGACGTCTTCATGTTCCTAGGGCTGCCCATCATCGGGGAAGAGAACTTCTATGCAATCCCCGAGAAGCATGACTCCTACACCACCCTTTCTGCCGACTTGGAGAGCAGGATCAGGGCCACGAGCTCCTATACAAAGATTATGTAGTTGTTCTTCAAGAAGCCAACCTCTGAGTCCGATACTGCCACGGAGCACTTGGTCTTCATCTGGATCCTACTAAGCTAATGGATCCTGGCCCTGGGGGAAGGAAAGCCCGTGCAGCTGCATCTAAGGATCGCCCAATCCCTGCTTTATGGCAATCAAATAGCCCTGGGGACTATGTTTATATATTGTCTTTATGACGGCATGAGGGAGTCACTAATCAAGAAGTCCTTCAACAATTTCAGTAGGCCTGTCTGGATTTTAAAGTTGTGGACGACGACTTACTTCCCCAACTTTCAGCGGGAGCCCTTCCTGGATGATTCCCGCGCTAACCACCCCTTCACTTATCTCTTGGGTGGTCATCTGCTGGTGGAGTTAAAGAACTTCTTCACTTTGTTTTTAGGGCCCTTAATGCCAGTCCCCCATAATTTAATGCAATTAAACATAATAGGT